ATGTAGGTAACAGCTCTTAGCTTGTCAATAAAGTTAGGAATCCTTAACCTGTAAATAGCTCACCAATAAAGTTAGGAATCCTTAACCTGTAAATAGCTTATCAATAAAGCTAGGGATCCTTACCTAACCTTGTCAAACCCTGTGTAAAAAAAAAAAAAAGAGAGAGAGACTACTGACAGTGTAGTGTAGCTACAGTGTTCTGTGCTGTTTACATTGCTTTGTTGAAGGACGGTTGGAGTCTTAGTGTTCTAATGCTAATCAAATTCAACTTGCTCACGGCTTAACGAATATATTTGGAATTAATTAACAGATTAATGTTAGGATGGTTAGACTGATTAGTTTGGACAAAGTAGGTCTGTAGTGTTTTTTTATCCTTAGATATTAGCACTAGCAGGTTCTCTACACATATGCTGCTATGTATGATAATCTATGTAACTTTATTTGTGTATACCTGAATAAACTTACTTAATCAATGTCAAGGGCTATCGTGATATCAACAGTGTTATATAGCTTAGTTGGTCGTTCCGAAATTAGAAAATGGTCACTGACAGATCTAATATAGAAAATGGACGATAGGAAACTATAGTAAAAATATATAAATGTAAAGCGAAGAAAACTTTAAACGAATATTAACCCAGAATAATCTAAGAATGTTATGCAATGTGATTAATTCTGTTAGGGTGATATATTTATTACATGCTTGCTTACTTACCTTTCGGGTTATCCTAGGTAATTTACACATGTTACTAAGAAAAATGTTGGTAAAAATTACCGAAAATATGTTAGATAAAAGAATATAGCCTTTTACCTAACATATTGTCGGTAATTTTACCAACATTATTACAGTTGTGTCCTTTCACCTATGTTACTATGATACCTTTTGTTATTGTATTTATGTGTACCTGTACCTAAATACAAACTTACTAGGTGAACAGGAGCAACAGTCCCTTATGTCTCTCCTAGCACAGGAGCAACAGGCCCTTATGTCTCTCCTAGCACAGGAGCAACAGGCCCTTATGTCTCTCCTAGCACAGAAGCAACAGCCCCTTATGTCTCTCCTAGCACAGGAGCAACAGGCCCTTATGTCTCTCCTAGCACAGGAGCAACAGCCCCTTATGTCTCTCCTAGCACAGGAGCAACAGGTCCCTATGTCTCTCCTAGCACAGGTGCAACAGGCCCTCATGTCTCTCCTAGCACAGGAGCAACAGGCCCTCATGTCTCTCCTAGCACAGGAGCAACAGAGCCTTATGTCTCTCCTAGCACAGGAGCAACAGAGCCTTATGTCTCTCCTAGCACAGGAGCAACAGAGCCTTATGTCTCTCCTAGCACAGGAGCAACAGGTCCCTATGTCTCTCCTAGCACAGGTGCAACAGGCCCTCATGTCTCTCCTAGCACAGGAGCAACAGGCCCTCATGTCTCTCCTAGCACAGGAGCAACAGAGCCTTATGTCTCTCCTAGCACAGGAGCAACAGGTCCTTATGTCTCTCCTAGCACAGGAGCAACAGGCCCTTATGTCTCTCCTAGCACAGGAGCAACAGCCCTATGGAAAATTTTCTAGGGTGCTTACCTGTATGTACCTCAACATTATATACATACCAGTAATCTCATTGGGAGACAATCATATTGTTTACCGTAGTCACCCCGTGTAGACATGTGAGAAAACTTAACCACCCCTGGTCGCACCAAGTGGTCCCCTCGACCTCACAATCTTATCCATATCTATCCGAGACCAGTATGGATTGGGTAGCACCCACAAGTACGGTGCTACTAATTAATTGTGGACTGTATAGATTATATTAGTTTAGCTGAATGAAGGGGAGGGGGGTAGGATACACCTGGATACATCCATCAAGGAAAACATTTGTACATAATCCCACCACTTACCAGATGTTCTCTGGTGATCACTTGAGGTAGCTGGATCACTCATAACCTATCTAATTATAACATAACACTACTGGCCAGCATAAGTTTGTTATAACTAGAAGGGTTACTTAACTGTGGGTGATTGATACTCCTTATTTCTTCCATTCACCATCTCAGTTTCGATGTCCTGCTACACCGACACGGTTCTCATTCCGGCAGGACGAGGTATCCGTCGGTTTGTCCCGGTTAGAAGTCGTGATTCTATAAATCTCCATTATCCCCGGTACGAGAGTCACACGTTCACTCGGAGCAAGGCGCTCTATTTCACATCCCGCATTCTCTTAACTCAATGTTATTATCACTGATTACATTACCATTCACAAGACGATTTAACGTCTCATAACTATTACACAAATTAGAGGTCACTCCATTGAGATCTGAGGCCGATGAGCGAGGATTAACACAGGGGTATGTCCCCTGGACACTCACCCTGGCCGTGCACCTGCCACCCGCTCCTACTCTTATCACCCATTTTACCAATCTACCACCGTGGTCCCGTAAATCACGTTCCCTCACTCTCCACCAGGAACAGTTACGACACTTCTTATTATGAAATGAGGCCTATATTAATCCTTAGGCCGCCGTGAATGTCAATTTCGTGGTTCCATGCTTTCTCAGCTTCTTCACCCCATTCAAAACAATCCGCGCCTCTCCCCCCCGCACATCCGCGCATGCGCAAAGGGAACTCTTGGTTCTACTCTTATTTTCAAATACATTTTTGACCCATATAGACACATTAAACACCTATTAGGCACTATAGTTTCGGAAAATCAAAAAATTTTCCACAAGCCCCTTATGTCTCTCCTAGCACAGGAGCAACAGGCCGTTACGTCTCTCCTAGCACAGGAGCAACAGGGCCTTATGTCTCTCCTAGCACAGGAGCAACAGGTCCTTATGTCTCTCCTAGCACAGGAGCAACAGGTCCTTATGTCTCTCCTAGCACAGGAGCAACAGGTCCTTATGTCTCTCCTAGCACAGGAGCAACAGATTCTTATGTCTCTCCTAGCACAGGAGCAACAGGCCCTTATGTCTCTCCTAGCACAGGAGCAACAGGTCCTTATGTCTCTCCTAGCACAGGAGCAACAGGCCCTTATGTCTCTCCTAGCACAGGAGCAACAGGTCCTTATGTCTCTCCTAGCACAGGAGCAACAGGTCCTTATGTCTCTCCTAGCACAGGAGCAACAGGCCTTTATGCCTCTCCTAGCACAGGAGCAACAGGTCCTTATGTCTCTCCTAGCACAGGAGCAACAGGCCCTTATGTCTCTCCTAGCACAGGAGCAACAGGCCCTTATGTCTCTCCTAGCACAGGAGCAACAGGCCCTTATGTCTCTCCTAGCAAAGGAGCAACAGGCCCTTATGTCTCTCCTAGCACAGGAGCAACAGGCCCTTATGTCTCTCCTAGCACAGGAGCAACAGGCCCTTATGTCTCTCCTAGCAAAGGAGCAACAGGCCCTTATGTCTCTTCTAGCAAAGGAGCAACAGGCCCTTATGTCTCTCCTAGCACAGGAGCAACAGGCCCTTATGTCTCTCCTAGCAAAGGAGCAACAGGCCCTTATGTCTCTTCTAGCACAGGAGCAACAGGCCCTTATGTTTCTCCTAGCACAGGAGCAACAGGCCCTTATGTCTCTCCTAGCACAGGAGCAACAGGCAATTGTCTCTCTTCTAGCACAGGAGCAACAGGCCCTTGTGTCTCTTCTAGCACAGGAGCAACAGGCCCTTGTGTCTCTTCTAGCACAGGAGCAACAGGCCCTTGTGTCCTTCTAACACAGGAGCAACAGGCCCTTGTGTCTCTTCTAGCACAGGAGCAACAGGCCCTTGTGTCTCTTCTAGCACAGGATCAACAGGCCCTTATGTCTCTCCTAGCACAGGAGCAACAGGCCCTTGTTTCTCTTCTAGCACAGGAGCAACAGGCCCTTGTGTCTCTTCTAGCACAGGAGCAACAGGCCCTTGTGTCTCTTCTAGCACAGGAGCAACATGCCCTTGTCTCTCTTCTAGCATAGGAGCAACAGGCCCTTGTGTCTCTTCTAGCACAAAAGCAACAGGCCCTTGTGTCTCTTCTAGCACAGGAGCAACAGGCCCTTGTGTCTCTTCTAGCACAGGAGCAACAGGCCCTTGTGTCTCTTCTAGCACAGGAGCAACAGGCCCTTGTGTCTCTTCTAGCACAGGAGCAACAGGCCCTGGTCTCTCTTCTAGCACAAAAGCAACAGGCCCTTGTGTCTCTTCTAGCACAGGAGCAACAGGCCCTTGTGTCTCTTCTAGCAAAGGAGCAACAGGCCCTTATGTCTCTCCTAGCACAGGAGCAACAGGCCCTTATGTCTCTCCTAGCACAGGAGCAACAGGCCCTTATGTCTCTCCTAGCACAGGAGCAACAGGCCCTTGTGTCTCTTCTAGCACAGGAGCAACAGGCCCTTGTGTCTCTTCTAGCACAGGAGCAACAGGCCCTTGTGTCTCTTCTAGCACAGGAGCAACAGGCCCTTGTGTCTCTTCTAGCACAGGAGCAACAGGCCCTTGTGTCTCTTCTAGCACAGGAGCAACAGGCCCTGGTCTCTCTTCTAGCACAAAAGCAACAGGCCCTTGTTTCTCTTCTAGCATAGGAGCAACAGGCCCTTGTGTCTCTTCTAGCACAGGAGCAACAGGCCCTTACGTCTCTCCTAGCACTGGAGCAACAGGCCTTTGTGTCTCTTCTAGCACAAAAGCAACAGGCCCTTACGTCTCTCCTAGCACAGGAGCAACAGGCCCTTGTGTCTTCTAGCACAAAAGCAACAGGCCCTTACGTCTCTCCTAGCACAGGAGCAACAGGCCCTTACGTCTCTCCTAGCACAGGAGCAACAGGCCCTTATGTCTCTTCTAGCACAAAAGCAACAGGCCCTTACGTCTCTCCTAGCACAGGAGCAACAGGCCCTTGTGTCTCTTCTAGCACAAAAGCAACAAGCCGTTACGTCTCTCCTAGCACTAGGATTGAACTCAGATCCTGTTAATTGTGATCTGAACGCTTGACCACTGAGTAACGAAATGCGGTCAAGTTATTTCAAACTTCTAACACCACTTAGAATAATAACGAGATGCTCAAAACGTACCTTATCATTTGTACTTCTGTCTGACTTCGAATCTTGTCTGCTGGAGCTTCCGTCTAAAAAAAAAATATATATATATATATATTAGAATACATATTACTATAAAATCTCATTGAAAAATAATTTATACAAAAAATAAATAAATATGATAATGAAAATCGCGACAAAGAAAGACAGTTAAATGTGACACATATTTGCACACAAAATAATAAGCTTTTATTGCAGTGACTCGTGAATTCTTAAAAAAAGAGATTGATGAGTAAGACACATGTGCAACAATTACATAGTCCGGAACATGCTGTTCCAGACTCTGGAACAAAACTCTTCTCCAGGCTGAGGGACTGATTACATCGTCTTCACATCTCTACAGGTTCTGCTAACTCTTTTGTACTCGACTGAAGAAGCCTACTGTGTAGGCGAAACGTTTCGGAATAAAGATACCTAATTGTTCCACATGTGTCTTACTCATCAACCTGTCGGTATTATATATCATTTTCATATTTACTCATGTTACAGACAAATTACATTTCTGTCTGTCTGTCTGTCTGTCTGTCTGTGTCTCTCCCTCCCTCCCTCTCTCTCTCTCTCGTTTTTTAAATATTTTATCACACGTTCTATATTTTTCATGCAGTGTTTCGTTTTTCCCCCTATCTTGATAACAACTGTGTAGAATTCCATCATACATTTGAATTTCGCTTACTCAATATAGAAGGATGGATGGGGAAGTTCAAAACGCGGAGAGGGGTAGAGAAGAGTAAGAGAGGATGGAGACGGCCTGGAAGAGGCGGAGAAGAGTACAAGGGGAAGGGAAGAGAGAAAGATGGGTTAGGAGGAATGACGTGGGGAAGAGGAAGAGGCGAACCAGGGTGGGGAGAGGTTCAGGACGTGGAGACTAGGCATGGTCTTCAGCACAACCTCAAATACCAAGAAAAAAAACAAGAGACAACATACTGATTAATAGCTCGGACGCTAGCAAAGAGCGCAATAATAGCAGAGGGAGAGGGGGAAGGGAGGGAGGGAAGGACTGCTTCTCCATTCCTAGAAACGGAGGTAGGAGCTGACAGGTAGGCGTAAACAAACTGTAGATGGGATCGAGGCTAATATGCTGATATTTTATGAAATAGAAAATGGTATTGAAGATGTGTCACTGCGTAAAGGTGAAAATGTTGTGATACTGAACACAAAAGAAAAGAAAAACATATTTCAAAACTAACAGAGAAGTTAGTGAGGCGGGTAAAAATGACAGTCCTCCTCCCCCCTCAAAAACAGAGAGAAACAAGAAAAACTTTCAAAATATATTACACTAATAGTCGTAGAGCTGAAAACAAGACAAACGAACTATAATTAACTACACACACACTACACACACACACACACACACACTACACACACACACACACTACACACACACACACACTACACACACACACACACACACACACTACACACACACACACACACACACACTACACACCACACACACTACACACACACACACACACACACACACACACACACACACACACACACACACACACACACACACACACACACACACACACAAAAGAAAGCAATTGCCAAAACATAGGTTAATTTAAAGAATGGTGATATGCCTATGGAATGCATTTTACAAGGGTTTAAATTATCCAACACTGACAGAAACACAAGACAGGTGGAGGCGTAGCCCTGTATGTCAGAAAAAAATAAAACTACCGTGTTGCCTCAAAAATTTGTATGAAGTCTGGGGAAACAGAGACCAAATCTATATGGATTTAAATTCTAAAGGGATTGAAAATCTGAGCCTAGGTGAGTAATAATGACCACTGAACTTAAAAATGGACCAAGAAAAACCTCTCTGGGACAAAATTGTAAAATCCTTAGTACATAAAAATTAAGTGATCTTAGGGGCTTTAATTTTAGCCAAATTAATTACAATTCCTTGCTTGGGAATCTAAGGTCAAATGACTTTTCTGGGGTAATTCAAGACTGCTTTTTAAAACAGTTCGTGACAGAACCAACTGGAGGAAATAACTTCTGGCAGGCAATCAGACAAACTGAGATCACGGAGGCGCGTGGAAGACGCCATGAAAAATCTATTACATTTAACACTGAACGTATGATAATAAACAATGAAGTAAAAATCCCAGATTTTCGTCCTGCAGATTACAATGAACAGAACAAGTGGACACCTGCCTTGGCTTGGCTAGGTAACTAAGAGAAGTGCCGAGATGACATTTTAAATACTATAAAAAAATATATTCCTTGACTGAATAACAATCATCCAAAATAAATGAACAGTAGGCTAAAATATTTTCTAAAAGAGAAGAATGGAATACATTGATTCACCTCATGAACCAATGTATTCATAAAAAGAGAGATTAATCATGGAGAAGAGATTAATAAATGAAATTAAAGTTGCATAGGGATCAAAGACAAATTCTAAAGTTTTTCCGAGTACCTAAAACAAACAGAAAAATTGGGTCCACTTAAAACTAACTCTGGTCACCTTATTGATACTAAGAAAGGAATGTGCTCGAATTTTAGCAATTATTTCCTGTCGGACTTTACACAGGAAGGTGTAAACAAAATCCCACAAATTAATAATTACAGTAGATCCCAGACAAAATGTTTTCAAGGGATCTTACAGAATTCAAAATGGAACTCAACAAGTCGCTCAATTGTCTTATCTATATATCATTTCAATTGGGCATCGTACCTGACATGTGGAAGATAGCTAAATTGATTTCTATCCACAAATGAGAGATTGGTCTCTTCAATCAAGTTACTGTACAATCTGCCTGACATCAATATTGGGAAATTATTGGAATTCATAACAGCAGATATAATAAGCAACTTTGATGAGTATAATTTGATTAAAGAGCTTCAGCACGGATTCACAAGGGGCTGATTATGCCTAACAAATTTACTGATATTCTTTAGTAAACCAGACATGTGAGGCAGTAAAGAATACAGTGCTGTCTACTAGGATTTCGGTAAGATTTCTGATAAGAGTCCCGCACAGAAGACTGAAGAAAATGGCAGCAGATGGTAAGGAAGGAAATATTCTTTCATGGATCGAGGTATGACTGAGAAATTGGCAGTAAAAAAAAAGCTTAAATGGGATGAAATCAGAAGGGTAACTGTCACCATTGGCATTCCACAATTATGACTTAAAAATTTAGAGCCCCTTGTTATTCATAATTGATATTCAATAAGGAATAAAAGGTGACATGAGTAAATTCACAAGGCTCCTTACCAGGACCGGCGAGATAATAGCCCAACATATTTCCATTTAAAAACCACGTAAAAATAAGAGAATAATAACCGGACACGACAGAGAAAGGCTAGAGGAGGACCTGGACAAACTGCAGGAATGGTCAGAATTGATGGCTACTGAACTTCAACCCCAGCAGGTGCACGTTTATAAAAATAAAGGAGGGAGGGAGAGAGAGGACAGCACATACAGAATACAGATTTGGGTGAACTACAATTCTCACACTGATCTCCTTCATCTTGACCTCCCATGCACTACTCCCTTACCCTGCCCCACTCACAATGACCACCCCTCTCACTATCATCCCTTCCTTGACGTTCCTCTCGCGCACTGCTTCTTTACCCTGACTTCCCTCACAATGACTAAACTTACACTCTCCTCGCTCACATTGGCTTCCCTCACCCTGACCTGCTTGTTATAAGCTTCCTTTAGAAGATTGCTCGGTGGCTCCTTGCTGCCGAGGAGTTGTAGGGGCAGAAGTAGTGGGGGGGGGGAATGTTAACCGTGGTAGTGGAGACGAAGTGGTGGTAGTGGAGAAGGAAACAGTGGTATTGGTGGTTTTCCTGCTGTTGGAGGTGGTAGTGGTGGAGGAAGTGGTAGGGGTATTGGTGGAGAACAGAGCGTGACCCCCCCAATTGCAAATTCTCGTCTTCTCCCACTTATCAACCACCACCACCATCAACCAACCTCCCTCTTCCTCCTCCATCACTACCACAACTCTTCACAATATAAGACAAAGAACATTAGAAACCACCACCAGATAACCCAGCACCATCCTCTCTTAATCATACCCTGCAACTAAAAAAATTGCCTCCCTCCCTCCGGCACTAAACACTCCTGATGGCACTCACAAAATAATCACCACAAATGCGTCACCTACTACATAACAGACGTAAACTCACTCAACACATTAGCATTAACACCCGTTACCCTCTTACACTCACTACGTTGTTTCATGTAAATTACCTTTCTTAATCACCTCTTTGTGTGTGTGTGTGTGTGTGTGAGAGAGAGAGAGAGAGAGAGAGAAAGAGAGAATTTTTTTTTAATTTACATATCCTCAGAACTCCATGGGGAAGTGGAACAGAATTCTTCCTCCGTAAGCCATGCGTGTTGTAAGAGGCGACTAAAATGCCGGGAGCAAGGGGCTAGTAACCCCTTCTCCTGTATAAATTACTAAACTTAAAAATAGAAACTTTCGTCTTTCTTTTTGGGCCACCCTGCCTTGGTGAGATACGGCCGGTTTGTTGGAAAAAAAATCCCCAGAAAGCACAGATTTTTTATATATTCACACAAAAACCAAGAGGGGCTTTAAAATTTGTAGTGAAAGGAAACTAAAATTAACAGAACACTGGGACAAAATTCTATAATGTAATGCTTTTCTTCTTCTTCTTCCTCTTCTTCAGGCTATGAGTAGTTTACTCAAGTTTATTCTCCTTCCGATGACTGTTTACTCAAGTTTATTCTCCTTCCGATGACTGCACGAGTTGCAGTGTGTTGTCACTGTTGTGTTGGCTCAGTCATGTCTGTTGTTGCTGTTCTGATGGTTGATGCCTGTTGCCACTATTGTTGGTTCAGTGATGCCTATTGTCACTGCTGTTGGTTCATTGATGTCTGTTGTACTGTTGTGTTGGTTCATTGATGTAATGTACTGGTTCAGTGATGTCTATTGTCACTGCTGTTGGTTCATTGATGTCTGTTGTACTGTTGTGTTGGCTCACTGATGTAATGTTGTACTGGTTCAGTGATGTCTATTGTCATTGCTGTTGGTTCATTGATATC